AAAAAAAGATTAGAATAACAGAAAATTGGTATTACAAACTCAAAAAAACTTGCAGCTATATAAATAAAGAAGGAAAAGAGAAATTTATAGCAGTTCAAACTTTAGCAAAAAATTGGTTAGCATATTTAGAAGTGAAGTACAAAGAGATCAATATAAAAGAAAATTTAATAATCAGTAAAGAGAAAAGTGAACAGAATAAAAAAAAAAATACCAACAAACCAAAAAAATAACAAAATTAAAAAAGAACTTAAAATCTGGTGAAAAATTTTGTATAAAGCATAGCAAATTAGCAAAAAAAAAAACAGAAAAAAATAATACAAGAGCAGATTTAAAAACAATATGCAATGATAGTAACTAATTAAAAGAAAATAATAAATAGCTTACTAGAAAGGCTATATAATAAGCTATATCTAGACAGAGTCTTAGTAGAGCTTGAGAATGATGAAGAAGAACTTGTATATAAATCACAAGAAGTATTAGAAACAGTAAGAACCTACTTCCAGAAATAGTTCTGCAAATAAGAGTCGAAAGCAAATAGCTTATCTTTGTTCTGGAGAAAAGAGTACAAACCACTAGATGAAGTATAAAAAGAATAGTATCAAGAAATTACAAAAGAAGTCATAATAGAAAAGTGGAATTAAGCTTTAAGCCAAACTAAAAGTAGCTTTGTACCAGGAATAACAGAAGTCATATACCCTCTGCTCAAAAATATAGAAAAAGATATAAAAGTTTTCTACACCAAGTTTGCTTCGGCATATATAAAAAAAGCCAAGATCTCCAAGAAGTGAAAAATAGAGATATTTTACTTTATACCAAAATAAGAAGAATAGAGCTTTAAGCTAAATAATATTAGACCAATTTTGTTACTAGAAATATTTAGAAAAACAGTAGTAAGAATTTTGAATAACAAACTTAGTAAAGTGCTAAAAACAAAAAAAATATTAAAAGAATGTAATTTTGCAAAGTTACCAGAAGAAGAAATAGTAGCACCAATTTATCTTCTTAACTATATCTTAGAAAATGCAAAAAAAAAGCAGAAAAAAATTTGGCTTTTCTTTTAAGATATAAAAAAAACATTTGATTCTGTTAGTTTAGAAATATTAGACCTAGCCCTGCAATGAATCAAATTCCCAAAGGCAATTAGAAGCTTTATTATAGACCTTAATAAGAAAAAAGAGATATAAGTAATTACAAAGCATAGCCTGACAGAGACTTTCACTATACAAGATGGTATAAACCAAGGTAAGGTGATATCTTCTTTAGTCTGAAAAATATTCTATGACCCTTTGCTAGTAGCAATACAAAGCTACAAAGAGGCAGGTTACTAAATGCAAGTAAAATGGCCAACAGATATACTACTAAACCAAATGGAAAGCATAAGTATGAAGTTTGAGATGCTTGCTTATGCAGATAATACTACTTATATAGCTAGCTTCAGGAAGAAATTAGAAAGTATTTTAAAAATAGCAAAACAATTTTATAAGATAAATAATATAGAAATTAACAATAAAAAATCAGAGCTAGTAGTATTAAACAAAAATAATAATAAAACAAACTATATAGAAGTAAATAAAAAAATATATATATATAGATAAAAAAAGATAATAAAAGTACAAGGTTTTTAGATTTCTGGTTTTTAACAAAAAAAAAAGAAAAAAGCAATTATAAATATGATTAAAAAGGAAATAGATATGATAGTTAATATTCTGAAAAGAAAAAGAGTTTTGCTAATATACATGATATAATATTTATGACAAACTACAAAGCTCTAACTTTAAGCTGACAAAGAACAAGACCAATATAGCAAGCATGACCCTAAATGCAGTACTAACACACAAAAATATAGTTGGTTTAAAGTTGATATAGCAAAACCAAGTAGCACACCATGTAACAGAACTTAATATATGCCTAAGTAGTTATAATGAATTAGAGCAAGCAACATGGATGAGAGTAAAACAAACACAACTAGATTGCAAAAGTAAAAAATATATTTTAGCCTTAGATAAAGAAAATTAAAAAAAATAAAAGTTAAGAACAATCTGATATATGAGATATTAAAAGAAGCAAGCAATCTAAAAATAAATATAAAAGTTAAGAACTAGAAGAAACATATAAGAAAGCAACAGATTTGGTAAACTTGTTTGACAAAAAAAATACAAATAGCTTTTGCAAAGAAAAAAAAATAAATATCTTTATGCTTGAACAAATTGTAAATACAAAACAAAAAAAGCTATTAGAATGGAAGAAAATAAAAAGAATTAGGGAAGTTTAAGTAGCAGGCAAAAAACTAAATTAGTTTAAAAGCATTGAAAAGTGAGTTCTAGAAAACTATAAACAAAGATTGATAAAAGAAAAATATTATATAAATATTGCAAAGAGCATAGAGATTAAAACATAACTTCAAAAAATTAGTCCAGATAAATATATAAAAGATTAAATTCTTTTTGAGAGTAGAAATGACAATCTAAACATAGGAAAAATTGTTAAAAAAAAAGACAAAAACACTTTTAAAATTGAGCATTAGAAAGAAAAACAAAATTTAAAAAAAGATAAAACAATTTTAATATATTGTAAAAATTGCATAGCAGAATCCAATCAGCAAATATGCCACTTTTAGAAAAAATATAAAAACACTAGATAAGCTATTTGAAAAAATATACTAAAAAAAGTAACTCTAGAAGATGAAAATGTATAGAAAATCAAGATACCTAAAAGCTCATTAATATATAAAAATAGTATACAAGAAACTTTAAAAGAGATTCAAGAAAGCTGCTACGAAAATATAAAAATTCGAATGATAGAAGAAGAATTAATAGAGAATGGCTTTGAAGGAGATGAAGCAAAAGAAAATTTAAAAGAAAAAGCCAACTTACTATATAATGAAGAAGAATTAATATTTTATACAAATAGCTCTTAGCTAAACTTGAAAGACCTCTAAAACAAAGCTAAACTAGAAACAAGTTGGATAGCCTTAAAAGAAACTGAAGAAATAAAAAGATAACTGGCTAAGTTTTAATATTTATTATTAAACTAGCTCTCTTTGACAAAAGTAGAGCTAGAAGCTATAATAACAGCTCTGGCAGTAGTTTTAAAAAATGCAAAAGTCACTATAATAACAAATAGTGCAATAGCAATCTAGGCAATTAAAAAGAGCAAAAATCTTAGTAAGTTAAGAGAAAGTATGAAGATTAAGAATAAAAATATACTTCTGCATTTTCAAAAACTTAAAAGTAGTAAAAAACTGGATATTAAAATTAAAAAAATAAAAGGGTACAGCAATATTTTAGAAAATGAAATTGCAGACCAACTAGTAAAAAAAGAGGCTGAAAAAGATTCAAAATTTGATTTCTAGAAAATATAAAGAAGGTTTAATAAAATAACAACATGTTAAAAAAATATAAAAATAGATAACCTAGTTAGAAACAGTATTGACAAAATAATATTAGCATTTTTAGATATAGAATAGGCCAATTTGAAAAATAACCAAATATGGTTAAAACAGGAAAAAAAGAAAAAATCAATTAAATAGAAAGAAACATAGAAAGATATAAATAGATTTAAAAGAGATAATTGTACTAGTACTAAAAAAAATAAAGATTAGATTTTCAGGATAAAATGCCTAAATGAGATGCTAATGACTATGAACAAGCTAAATAGAAAGTACCTAGATTTATACAAAACTGATATATATATAGCATATATAGAAGAATCAAAAACACAAGATTATCTAGCAACATGTATAATTTACCAAGGTATTTGAAACAGGCTAGAAGAAGAGATGTATAAAGAAATTCAAGAGAAAGCCCAATCTAATAAAGATCAGCAAAGACTAACAACAGAAGAAGTTAAAAAGCAAATTTTTAGTAAAATATTTTTAGAAAAAACAAAGTCTAAAAAAGAACTAATCAAAGATCTTTTAATAAAAAAAAAGAAAGAAGATATTGAGGAGCTTCTACAAAGCTATAAAAAGAAAAAAAAATTACCAAAGATATTACTTGGCAGTTTTAAAGAAAAGTTTCGAGAATATATATGGAAATTCAGATGCAAAAATATAAATGAATAGGGAAAAAAACACAACATATTGAAAGAAGACAAAAAGGCTATATTATCAAGAAAAAAAAGCAAGGTATCTCCGAATCAAAAAAACAAAAGACCAAAAGAACACAACAACAAAGCCAATACATACTAAAGTAAGATCTTATCAAGAAGAAAAGAAAAAAAAAAAGAAACTAATAAACTTAATAAAGAAGAAACAAAAGTTCCAGAAAAGAAAAGATAAAGATATAGGTAGCAAAAAACATTTAAAATTGGATAT